TCTGGTGTATTTCTTCCTCACTAATCATGGGCTCATCTGGGACAGGGACCATATTAGAGTTGTCTTTTAGCACTTTCCTGCCTTTGAGATCTTTTCTGTCTTTGTTATTATGTCTTTCCCTCTTGGTATTTGTTCTCAGCCCTTCCCTGTCTCTTGAGCTCAACCAGGAAGGTGAGCTGTCCACTTCCTCTGTCCACTTCTCCTGCAGACTGTGTACAGTGCCCTGGGCCTGAGGGATGCCTGCCGCTCCCTGCCCCAGTCTATCCAGCTCTTTCGGGACATTGCCCATGAGTTCTCTGATGACCTACACCACATCGCCAATCTCATTGGGAAAGTGGTGAGTGGGAGAAAAGAGGCAGAGCCCTTGGGGACCTAGGGGAGAGCTGGAAAATGTGGTGTGGAAGATGGGGATGCACTGGGGCCGGCTGGGTGACTACAGAGTGGAGTGGTGAGAAGAGGTGGAGAATGTCAGGGGTGGGTTTGGAGAGTGAGGAAGAAAACGAGGACTGCAGGGAGAATGGGGCCCAAGTCGAGGTAAGGAGCAGGACTGAAAGATGGTCCTGGGTGATCAGACGCTGGACTTCTTGTCTCCTCAGGTGGACTTTGAGGGAAGTCTTGCTGAAAATCGCTTCACAGTCCTCCCCAACATAGATCCTGAAATCGACAGGAGTGAGTTGGGCATGTATTGGGCCTGTGAGCCCTGAAACACAAGCCTTCTCAGGGAGGGTACCATCCTCGGAGGCAGCCACTGCAATTGGGGTGATCATAGCCACCAGGACAGGAAACTTACTTTTGGTATTTATGTTTTTTCCTACCTCCTAGAAAAACGAAGGCTGATGGGACTTCCCAATTTCCTCACTGAGGTCGCATGGAAGGAACTGGAGAACCTGGACTCTCGTGTTCCTTCATGCAGTGTCATCTACATCCCTCTGGTGAGAGCAGGAAGGTGGCTGTAACTGCCGGAGGCCTAGTAGGGGAGATATTAGGCTTGTGAAGGACAAATTAGTAGATAAGAAAACTTTTGGAGAAGTCTGAAGAACATGCACACCTTTTGGTGGCTTTAGTCCCCTGAGGGAAGCATTGAAGGATACAGGGATTTCTCACTTACTGTAGGGAGAGTAGGTGTCCAGTAGGTCACTCTCTGCTTTATCTCCTCTTTACTCTCTCCAGATCGGCTTCCTCCTCTCCATTCCCCGCCTGCCTTCCATGGTGGAGGCCAGTGACTTTGAGATCGAGGGTCTGGACTTTATGGTAAGATCCTTGGCTTCTGTAGGGAATAATAAGGAGAATGAATCAGCAACTGAGGGAGGGCCTGACCCCATCAGCACTGCTCAATATGGGATCTTCTGCACTTTGATCTTTACCAGCTCTGAGACAAAGGAGAAAGAGGTGTTTGGGGCCAGAGGTGGGGTTAGGTGGGAGAGGATGAGGAAAAAAGCCTACAACTTTCAACCCTGCACCCAGTTTCTTTCAGAGGAGAAGCTCCACTATCGTAGTGCTCGAACCAAGGAGCTAGATGCATTGCTGGGGGACCTGTACTGCGATATTCGGGGTGAGGAGAAGCGAGAGGCTGGAGACTGGACGTAAGCTTGGAGATGATTCTGACAGGCTTCTCTGTCCCTCACTCTGCCTTTTCTCTGAATGTCTCTGGATATCTCAGATGGTATCTGCAAGCCTGTTTCCTGGTCCCTCTGCTGGCCACTTTGTCATTTCTTCCCTTTCCCCTGAGCTGACCCCCAGCTCCTCCCTCACCTGCCTCCAGACCAGGAGACCCTGTTGATGTGCCAGCTGCAGTGTCAGGTGATGGCGCGAGCAACTGTCTTGACCCGAGTGTTGGACCTTGCCTCCCGCCTGGACGTCCTGCTGGCTCTTGCCAGTGCTGCCCGGGAGTATGGCTACTCGAGGCCCCGTTACTCCTCTCAACATTTTGGGGTACGAATCCAGAATGGCAGGTAAGAACAGAAGGGGTGGAGGCATAGACACAGGGGCCTGAAGGCCCCAACTTATATGTGGTTTATCCATCTGGATCCATGGGCCTTGTGCAAGGTAACTCTGAACCCACTGTAGACACCCTCTGATGGAGCTCTGTGCCCGAACCTTCGTGCCCAACTCTGCAGAATGTGGTGGCGACAAAGGCAGGGTCAAAGTCATCACTGGGCCCAACTCCTCAGGGAAGAGCATATACCTCAAACAAGTGAGAGAATACCTTCAGCCTGGGCCTCTGGCATGTTCTCTATGGTCTCTATCCCCCGCTTTCTAGCCAACCCAGGTCCCTACAGTTCTCCTGCTGTGCTCTGACCCCCACCCTTTCATGAAAAGACCATAACCCATATCCCCTGCTCCTCTATCTTACATGGTCCTTTCTCTAGTTGAGGGAGAGTCATGTTCTAATACACTTTCAATGGTCTGAATTCCCTTCCCCCACCCCTGAATAGGTCTGTGTCATCCCCAAGTGTCCCTCTTGTCTGATTCTAAAATAAGTGTGAGGGGCTCTCCTGGTAAATTGTGTCCCTCTTTCCTGGATCTATCAGTCTCTCCTCAATCTCTCATTCACCCCTCAGTTTAGCTTCACCTTCACCTCAGCCCACACCACCAGGCCCCAAGCCCTCTCTCTCCCCTGTGCAGGTGGGCTTGATCACGTTCATGGCCCTAGTGGGCAGCTTTGTGCCAGCAGAAGCAGCTGAAATCGGGGCAGTGGATGCCATCTTCACTCGAATTCATAGCTGCGAATCCGTCTCCCTTGGCCTCTCCACCTTCATGATCGACCTCAATCAGGTCAAAAGGAGCAAAAGGAGGGGGGAGGGCTGAAAAGGGACAATGGGAAGGAACTTTACCCTGAAAAATCATCAGCACAGGAAAGCTTTTCCCCCACGGCATGCCCTCTATCCTAAGGGCCCCGGAGCATCCAGTTCAGAGACTGGAGATTTAATCTCATGAACCTTTATTGAACGTTGCTTTGCATAAAGCCCTGTTGGCAATGAGAGGATAAACAAAACACACACCTTGCCAAGGAGGAACTTGTAGTCCAGTAGGGTAGACACACAGGGGCAGCTTTATTCACAGGCTTGACTGGTCAGTGTATTACCAGCCTCAGATGCTAATGAACCGCTCCCTGCCCTGGTGCCCAGCAGGTGGCGAAAGCAGTCAACAATGCCACGCAGCAGTCGCTGGTCCTTATTGATGAATTTGGAAAGGGAACCAATACGGTGAGAGAAGGACGAAGGAGCATGAAGTTGAGGCCGGGGTAGGGCTGTTTGGGCAGCAATGAAACATGGGGAGGTAGGGAAAGGCTGGGGCAGGTGGGGAGGGGCACATGGGGCACTGAGGGTACCGCATCCTCACCCTTGCCCTCTGCACAGGTGGATGGGCTTGCGCTTCTGGCTGCCGTGCTCAGATACTGGCTGGCGCTTGGACCCATGTGCCCCTACATTTTTGTGGCCACCAACTTTCTAAGCCTTGTTCAACTGCAGCTGCTCCCACCAGGGCCTCTTGTGCGTTATTTGGTGAGGAAACCAATCTACCCTCCGGTGGGGCCCTTGGAGCGCTAGGGGGCCGTGACCACAGGCACCTCCCCTTTCCTCATTCCCCACAGGGATTGACTGAGGGTTTGGGGCAGGAAGCAGAGTGATGACCACATGCTGTCCTCTTACTCTCTTTTAAGACCATGGAGACCTGTGAGGATGGCAACGACCTTGTCTTCTTCTATCAGGTTTGCGAAGGTGTTGCCAAGGCTACCCATGCCTCCCACACAGCCGCCCAGGCCGGGCTTCCTGACAAACTCATTGCTCGTGCCAAGGAGGTAATGAGATCTGGAGGCCAATCACCTCCATCAGGGCTCCCTTCCACATTCCTACTCCCCTCAGAGGCTTTAGTTTCTGGGCCCATGGTGTTTCGGACCCTTATTTTCTCTTTTCTGACTCAGTTCCCACCCCATCTCCCACCGCCCTTCTTGTTCCTAGGTCTCTGACTTGATCCGCAGTGGAAAATCCATCAAGCCCATCAAGGCGTTGCTAAAGAAGCAGCAACTGGTGAAGTGAGTGTGTGACCCAAGGTCCTTGTTCTTTCCAGCATGTTCTCCAGCCATCTCACCTTTTAGGGACTCAGCCAGCCTCTTTGCCCTTCAGAAATCCATGATTTCTTCCTAACTCTAAATTTTCACAGCCCCAGCTTTCCCATCTTCTTCTGAGGAACTCAGTTATCCATTCTCTTATAAATCTCCCTGTTCTCTCTCCCCTCAGTTGCCAGAAATTGGTAGATAAGTTTCTGAAACTGGATCTGGAAGATCCCAGCCTGGACCTGGACGTTTTCATGAGTCAGGAGGTGCTGCCTGCCGCCACTGCCATCCTCTGAGCCTTTCCTCACCCGCCTGCATTCTTTCCCTGGCCCCAGTGGGCTGCCATGCCCTTGTTTCCTTCATCAACTTAGACCAGAGCTCTCATGTTCCCTGGATATTTTGTTTCATGTTAGGAATAAAGTTTATTTTAGAGAAAGTTATTGTTTCCATAGATCATTCAAGACAAGAGAACAGGAAGGAGATGAAAATGCCTCATTAAAAATACAGTGACACTCACCCTGCCTGTTCTGTTCCCCGCTTTGGCTCTGGTGAATTCTCCCACCCTCCCGTGCTTCTGACTGTACCCAGTGCTTGTATGAATAAATAAATAAATCTTTAAAAAAAAATACAGTGACACTGCTGTAGGGAGACCCTTGGATTCTGCTTAGGGGGCTTCGTGAGAACCAGCCACTTAAACAGACCCTTCTAAAACACGACATCGATTTTAAAAATGTTAAAAAAAAAAGGGTGGGGGAAGGGGTGGGTAGGAAGGCAAAAACAAACTATTGGGTTAATCTTTAAAAACAAACAAAAAACTGATGACAGGGAACATACAGGAGCCCAAGAGATGATGTTTCCCCTTAAGTGAGAACACCTCAGCCTCTGCAGGAAGGGCTCTGAAAGGCAAGCCCGGGGAAGGAGAGGGACCAGTCTTTGCCCAGTGGGCATGACTCTGCCCTTCCCACCTCAGACCCCTGGGGAGCCAGGGGCCCCTGTGCTGCCCCTGCTGCAGGCCCCCGATATTGTCCTGCTGCTGCCTCTGGGAACAAGCCGGCAAGACCCAGGGGGCCAAAGCCTCTTTGGGTGAGTATTAGTTCAACAGGAGGCTCCAGGGGAAGCCCCTCTTACTAGATCTGCCTCCTATATTCCCACTCAATTTGATGAGTCAGAAGTCTTGCCCTCTGCCGCTTGCCCTCCAGGTTCTCACTGGCCAGTCTGCGCTCACACTCAGTGACCAGACAGTGAACTCAACCAGGATTGAGAAAAAGTGCCATGGCCCAGAGCCCGGCTGTGGAGCAAGTCAGTCTCTTGCTTCTTGCCTTTTCCAGCTGCAAAGGACGTAGGTGCTGGAGAGGGAACAGGGTGCCCTGTGGCAGGGGTTAGAGCTGCTGGAGCACAGCCAGGCCTGGTTTGAGGGCCAGCTAAGGAGGCACAGCAGCAGCAGCTGTGTCTGGGGGCTCTTGGTGAGGTCTGGGGCTGATGTGAGGTGTATGGAGATGGGGAACAGGGACACATGGACATGGCCTGAGATGACCCTGGGAAGGCAAGAGGTCCTGCGCAGGGATCATGAGTTGGAAGCGGTATGGGAATGACAGGATGCCCCAAGTGTGAGGTTGGTGCTCATAGTTGGGATTAGAGGCTGGTCTGCATTCCACTCATTGTGGCCCAATTTAGCTCACTCATTGGTGATGGGGAGTGGCCTGGACTATTGCACTGGGACAGGGATAGACGGGGAGGATCCATAAAGAATAGTGAAAGGGGCTCTGTGCAATCTGACGAGGGTAGAGGAAGTGGATTGTTAAAGAGATGGAGGGTATTCAACTTTCCTCCTGCCTGGAGAGGGAAGGGGGTCCAGATGGAGGGGCGGGTTGGCCTGTGGTGAGAGAAGAGTCGCAGATGGGTTTCAGGTTTTCTCCAAGTTATCAGCCTCCAACTCTTCCTCTAGAATTTTCTAACAGATTTGTACTCAGAACCTGGTGGCTCCCATTAGCTAGTATTCAAAAGGTGAACATCTGTTTGCAGTATCTGATTCAGGAACAGGTGATTTTATTTTTTCAGCTGAAACTGTTGGGAAGCGGTGGTAGGAAAGAGACATGGGGTCAGCACTGATTTAACAGAAAACCTTTTCATTTCCCCTCAGCTCTCCCCATGCCCTTGGACAGGCTAATTTCTATGCCACCTAGGACTGGAAGGGAAGGCCAAAGACACAGAATTTGGGGCAGCAACAGGTAAACTATATATGTGGTGTATTTTTGGGGGGTGGTTTAGGGGTGGCACTGCAGTGGGCACAGAGGCCCAGACTGTTTCTTTCCTCTTCCTTAGGCATTGTCCAGACAGCAGAAAGGAGTCATTCAGCCAAAGAGAAATGGTTCAGCCAGATTGCCCCAAGGGGTGGAGGGGCCCTACCAGGGTCTAAGGCCCTTTCTTGTTCCCCTCAGTTGGCAATGGGAGACACTGTGTTAGAACCCCCAGTTTCACGCTGCTGCTTCTGGACTCAACAGCTAAATGTCTCCACATGGTAGGTCAACCCAAGTCCAGACACCTTGGCACACGGTTTCCTTCTCAGCTAATGAAAATTTCCATTTCATCTTCTCAGTGTCTGGTGCCCCCAATTCTCTCCTATTTGATTTTTTTTTTAAATCTCTGGGAGAAGACTAGTGAAATTGTCCTTCAACTTTAAATATAAAAATAGGAGCCTCTCCAGAATTTCAAATAAAAACAGTTCTATAAATAACACTTCCTAGTACTCACTTACCCACAGCCCAGGCTGTCTCCTCCCCAAATAGCTTCCCCTCCACCCGAGCCTCAGAGAGCGTGGATAAGTAGTGGGATAAAGGCGCTGCAGAGAATTTGAAAGCAACTTTCTCCAAAAATGAGTCTTTGGTTTGATTCCCACAGGGTCAGGGAAAGTACATTGTGGGACAATCTCTTCAGAAGAGAGAGAAGGGACAAGTGCGTGAAAAGGAAAACCTCCATCCCAGATGGAGGGGCAGGGTCCTGAGGCCATGTTACCTTGTCACCCAGGGGTGAGGTTGAAAGCAGCATAGAGGTGGCTCTCCTGGAGGCATTGTGTCAACAGGAGGTCAGGCCCAGCAGGAGCAGCACCCCTCCAACAGTGCCCCACCAGATGTGGCCTGCCAGTGCTCCCCCAGCCCTGTCCAGAGTCACCAAAGTAGAGGGATGAAGGGAGGGACTAGCCCTGGTGAGGATGGGGCCAGGTGAGTGGGGAGGGGCAGTGGCTGCGAGCTGGTCCTGGGGAGAAGAAGAGACTGTTAGGGTGTCTGTACCCAAATGAAATTATACTACCTCCCCTTGATCTGCCTACCCTGCACTAGAAAGTGGGGTGCACCTCACCTGTGGGGTGGGAGCCAATACCAGGAGTCTGAGGAAGGCATGAGTCGGGGCCACTGGGCTGGTTTCTTGGCCTGTTGCAGTCACAGTCACCGTCACCAAGGAGTCTGGGGCAACTGAGTCTGGGACCTCCAACCACAGGTATCCCCAGGCAGACTCATTCTGTTCTAGGTGAACCCTGGAGAGGAGACACTGGCATAAAGCCCCAGTCTCTGAATAGCCGGGAGCCAAGGACTGGAGCCAAGCACTGGGGCAGGGAGGTGCCTGAGGACCAGTTCTGGTAGCGGCCAGAGGCTGGGCTCAAGGAGCCGGTGCCTAACTGAAAGCTGGGTTTTTGGGAGCCGTGGGGTTCAAGGGCTTCACCTGGAGAGGTTGGAGGTGACGGCAAAGCCCGGGTTGACAGACGTCCTAAGATGGAGATCCTGAGGGCCTGAGAAGCTGGTGATGCGAAGGCTGAGCAGGACCTTACTGCCCGGGACTGGGAAACCTGGGGGGCCACTGAGCTGCAGAGGGTGGACAGGTGAAGAACCCTCCCGTGGCTCTCTGCAGCCGCTGCCCACCCTCCCCTTACCCCTCACCTCCAGAAGGACCGGGGCCACAGTACAGGATTGAGGGGCCACCCGGCGCAGGCCCTGCCCCCCTCCGTCCTGACCAATCAGCTCCAGAGAGAAGGGCTTCAGCGGGGGCAGAAACGTGGGCGGGAGCGAGGCAGCCAAGAGACCTTTCTCTGGGGGTCCCGTGCGTTCCAAACGCACCCGGCCCAGCTCCACATCCTCCGAGACCCCTCGAAGGACGACGTAAGAGAAATGCGCCAGAGACTCTCCAGAGCTGCCTCCGGAGCCCAGCCCTATCACTTCGACCAGCAGCTGGGTCTGGAGACCTGGGACAGAGGCAGGGGAACAGTGGTCTGCGGGGGCTGAGACACCGGGAAAGGAAGGATGGCTTCTGGAAGGGGTTACCCCTGGGGGCATGGACAGAAAAGGGGTAATCAAGGGTATTGATGGGATAGTCAAGATTGGGTTCGAGGCACTGGAAATACTCTATATGGAACTTAGTGACGGTAACATGGGTGTATTCAGTGAAATCCATCCAGCTGTACCTTAAGTTTAGTACATTTTATGTAAATTAAAACTCGATAAAAAATTAAATATATATATATATATATATATATATAATTACCTGCAACAGGTTGAGTCAGGGGGTAGAGGCCAGGGTGGGGGCCGTCCTCCATGGCGATCCCAAAGTGGAAGAGGAAGTCCAGGGAGGTCTGGGCTGATGGGGGTAGAGGCAGTCAGAGGCCTTCCCCAGGAGGAAGGTGAGGGATACTGCCCTCTGAGCTGCAGCAGCCCCTCCCAGGATGGCTCCCCGCTTACCTTGCACTCTCACCTGGGGCGTGCCCTCAGCTGTGACTTGGATCTCCCAGGTTCCTGTCTGTGGGGGGTCATTGATGGTCACCATCCAAAACTGCCCAAATCTTTGAGTATGACCTAAAGGCCCCCGGCCTTCCTCCTGACCCTGGGAGACCCCTTGGGGGTGGGGAGTGAGGGGGAAATAAGAGATGATCTCATGAGACTATTCCTTCCCCTTAGTGCATTACCCCCTTCCAGTCTCCATTCTCCCCTCTGCCCTGAGACACACAGAAGTACCTGCTGGGTTCCTGATCCGGAAGCTGCTGACCTCCCCGTGGACCCGGACTGTGACCCTCTGGAGCAGCCCATCCACACTGAACACAAGTGGCCGCCCCGGCACCACAATGGGCGGTTCCAGGGGAAGGGTCACCTTAAGGGATGCGGTGGACCAAAAATTGGGAGAAAAGATAAAGCATGAAATGAGGTGGGAACAAAGACAAGAGAAAGGCAGAGACAGAAAGAAAGGGAGTCATGCTTGGAGAAGGGACACCAGTGAGAGAAGGGGCTGAGGGTGAAATTATGATCAATGACAAAGTTGGAGGTCAGGGATTAGGGATGTCACAATCACTTCTTGTCCCTCTTAAAAGATGGCAGGACAGGGTCTCCCCTGGTGGCGCAGCGGTTGAGCGCAGACCTCTCCTGCCGCCCGCTGCTCCCCTCAGCAGTGTACTTCGGTCCTTCTGCCTGCTCTGCTCCCTGCTCTGGCTCTGGTGAATTCTCTCACCTTCCCGCGCTTCTGACTGCACCCAGGGCTTGTATAAATAAATAAATAAATAAATCTTAAAAAAAAAAAAAAAGATGGCAGGACATCCTGTGGTAGTCCTGAGGACAGAATACTGGAGGCCAGAAACGGGGGGAGGGGCAGTGCTAAGTAGAAAGAAATGTCAAGGCAGCCATGAATCTCAGGGGGAGAGAAACCTGCTTTCCTGCCCTTCTGAATGGAATCGCAACACAGTAGTGGGAGCCGTGCTCCCTACGAGGAAGAGAAGTGTACTGTTACCCGTCCTCTCAGTTCTGAGCTGAGGGCACTGGTCCCTCTGGCCCCCACTCTTGCTCACCAGGTCAGTCGTGCTATCCCCAACAATGGCTGCCACGTCCTGAATGTACTGGTCTTTGGTGAAGATCACCTCTCCTCCTGAGGCTAGGGCCACAGCTTCGTACGGCTCAAAACGTTGAGGGGATAAGACCTCACGCCGAATTCGGCCCTGAACCCTTGACGGGTCTTCAGTCACCAAGAATGTAACCTGCACTCGAAGAGAGGCCATGCGTGAGGTGTTCAAGTGCCGACTACCACTGTAAGTGAGGATGTCTGTGCCCAAGCTTTCTAAGGCACTGAGGACTAGTGTAAGGTCTGTCTCTCCTCTGGCTGCTACCCAAGGGTCCCCCAATGACGCAACCCCCAGCGTTCAGTTAGTAGCTGCCCATTCCCTTGTAACTGTCACCCTGTCATCCACAGAGCGAATTGTTGGCAACTGGACCTTTAGTTCTTCAGATGCTTTAGTGGGGGCAGGATCCACTACGGATCCAGCAGCATTAAGGATAAGGCCTCCTCTTCAGTATTGCTAAAGGGAATGTACTCACTGTCTGCTTCTCCCAGCCCATGCCCTGGCTGGTTCAACCACCATAGTGTGGTGTGATCCTGTTAGAAGGCTGTTGTTACAGGGTCCCCCGCATCCCTGGGGGGCTAGCCCTGGGTGTCCCACCAGCTGTGCTCACTCTGCAGCGCCGCTCCCGAGTCAGAGACTCCACTCGGTTGGTGAGAAAGGCATCCTTGGGGGAGGCATCGGTGAAGACGAAGATGTCTGAAAGTGGGGGTGTGTGCAGCAGGGCCAGCTGGCAGAGAGAAAAAGGACTGCTGTAAAGAATGGCAGCTGCACAGGAATGGGTAGAGCAAGGGAGAGCAGAGGAGAAGGAAAATAAGCCTTGGAACCCTGGAATGAAGCTAGTAGAGCGAGGTTCTGAAGGCAGGGTGAAGGGTGGGTTCCAGAAAGGTACTAGTTACCCATCATGGGGGGGGGTTGTCTGGAAAAGGAGGTGAGAAGAAGGGAAGGGAAGGGGGTGAGCAGACCTCCAGGGCTGAAAGGCACATCTCTGGCTCATCTCCACCCCCCAAGGTGTGGATCTCATTGAGTTGCTGCCAGAAGCTGTCAGGGTCACTGGTTGAAAAGACAGGACCAAACCCTGGGGAGGGAGAAGGAAGTTGAAATAAGTGAGGAGAGACTCCCCTCATTCCTGGCTACCTCCCTAGTCAGTAACAACAATATTCCCTTGTACGGGCAGGGCAGAGGCTAGCTACCTGTGCTGGGAAAATGGACCTCATTTCCTTAACAAAATGGCAGCACTTCCTGTAGTACATATTTAAGTATAAAAAACATATAAGGCCAGTTTCATCACCAGCACAACCAGAAAAATAGTATTTATCTCAGAGAGATATTGGGAGTGCCAAATGAATTGATTTTGTAAATCACAGAGTAATGTCTTGAACACATAATAAATGCTAAATTCTTCATTATTCACTAAGCCCTTCATAACTGCCGGCTGTCAAGAGATTTATTTATGCAGATAAATCACACTCAAATCTTGCCTTTGGGGAATTCTTAGTCTAGTAAGCATTTTATTTGATCATCATTTCAACCCTGGCACATTGGCAGGATAAGGCCAGTACAGACCCACTTGATGGATAATGACATTGAGGCAAAGAGAGGTCAGATGACCAGGCTAAGGACACAGAGTAAGTCTGGCGGACCCCGGCCAGATTATGGACTTCCAGTTCCGTGGGGAAAGGTTACAGTGTAAGTAAGAGTCTCGGATACTTCAAAGTCGCCTGGATCGACCAACTCCCCATCTTCACCCCAACCTCTGCCTACAGGAAATGGCGAGAACTGAAAACAACTTATTAATATGGAAGCCTAAGAAAGCAGAGGCCACCTGCCTGAGCAAGGTCATGACTGAACTCTCGCCACCCACCATCCCTTCCACCCCCTGTCCCTCTTGACCTCAGAGCCCTCCAGTGTTTGCTCATATCCACGAGTTTTTGTATTTTGTGTTATTTTATCATCTGCTATGTAAATGTTGAGTACAGTCATCCTCTGACTTGCTTTACTGCACAAAATTCTCTCAAACTCCCTCTATTTAACTGAAGATGGCTGCACTGCAGCTTTCCTTCTGGCTGAACAGTATTCCACGGTGTGGATAATCCAGTCTTCACCTTCTTGATCCCACACAATTAATTATGGAGAGTGTTATAATTTTGGAAAGTGGAAATGGCTGATGCTTCTCACATGCACATGGGCACCAGTAAAGGCTCACCCATGTGCATGGGAAGGATCACCATTTTAAGGACGAACAGCTGTGAGGCCTCCGCCGCCCATGGTGTTTATCCTTTTTTTTTTAAATAAAGATTTATTTTTTATTTATACAATAGCTGGGGTACAGGCCAGAGGTACGGGACGGGGAGAGGATTCACCAGAGACAGAGTGGGGAGCAGAACAGGCAGACAGACCAAAAGTACTGCTGAGGGGAGCAGCGGGAGAGGCAGGAGAGGTCTGCCACGCCATGTGGGAATCTCCCTGGCCTGCCGGGATCGAACCTGTGCTACAGAAACTTCGGAGAGCTTCACAGCACTGTGCTCAACCCACTGCACCCCCGGGGAGACGCTGGTGTTTATCATTTGCCCTGGACTTTCCTTCCCTCCACTGGCCCAGCCACTCCCTGGTTACCTGGGTCATGGAAAGGCACCAGGATGTAGTGACTGGGCTCCATGGGGCTGCCCCGCCGCTGTTCCACAATGTGTCGAGCCTGGATTTTGGCGGCGTTGATCTCCTCCCCCATGCTGCCCGTGGTGTCCAGAACAAAGCTCAGGCCGGAGGCTGGGGTGATGTCCAGCAGCCTGGAGCAGGCCAGACACATTGAAGAGTCTGCACATTTGCCCCAGCTCTCCCAGGAGTCCATCTAGGCGGTCACTTACCTGGAGAAACCCTTGTCTCCCAGGCGGTTTCGCAGGAGGCTGAGGGCCTGAATGGAGGCCAGAAGGGCCAGCTGTGCAGCCTGGGGGTGCAGCATGTGGTGGGGGGAGAAGCCTGGGGCTGTGCTGTCCTTGTTGATGCCTCCCCGTGGTGGCTGGGAGCTGCTCTCGTCAAAATGACCCCCATGGCTACATTTTCCTGGGTTGGGGAAAGGGATCTGGAAGGTGGAGGTAAAAAATCCACTGCCTCCTAAGAAATTGAGGCCCTTTCTGACCCGGTCTGCCCACTCATTCCTCAGCAAAGGGTCAGCAGGAAATGATGGCATCTCGAGGAGGGTAAATCTGGAGAGGTCAGTCACTCCAGCACTTGGTGGATTCCCTGACCCTCAGTCAGTCCCCAAAAGCTGCCTCAGGCATGGAGGTGTCTGCCTTGGGCGATGGAGAAAGAAGCTGCTCCCCACCCAGTGATCTCCGGCACCTCACTGGGCTTCCCTCCCACCAGTCCATTCCCAACATCCTCTCTTTCTTCTGAGGAAACGATGCCTTGAGAAGTTGAACAAAGGACTACATGACTGAGATCCCCAGTGAGAGGGTTGGGAGGAAGGACGTGACTTACTCCCTGTACTTTGGAGGCTTTTCTGTCTGGTACCTGGAGGTTTGGAGGGATGAGTTCCGAAGTAGCCAGAGGTGAGCAGTGTGAAGCTCAGTAAATTCCCAGGGCAGCTCAGCTCCTCACAGTCAGAGCAGGTAGCGTCGTCCACTATGAAGAGAGTGTAGGGATCTGGAACCCACGAGTCTACTGCCCCTCACCTTTTTTTTTTTTTTTTTAATTTATTTATATAAGCACTGGGTACAGTCAGAAGCGCGGGAGGGTGAGAGAATTCACCAGAGCCAGAGCGGGGAGCAGAGCAGGCAGAAGGACTGAAGTACACTGCTGAGGGGAGCAGCGGGCGGCAGGAGAGGTCTGCGCACCATGTGGGACCCTCACTGGTGGCCGGGGATCGAACCTGCGCTGCCGAGGCTGCAGGCAGCTTCGCAACCCAGCGCTCAACCGCTGCGCCACCGGGAGGCCTGCCCCTCACCTTTAATCCTGTCCATCCAAACTTCCTGGGCTCTTCCTTGCAGCTGACATGAGGTAAAAGCCCGCAGGTACCCTTCTAGGCTTTCTGAACTAAAACCTGGAGTTTATGAGCTGATGATAAAACTGAGCATCTGGGGCAGGAATGTGCTAGAAAACCCAGGCTCGGGGACCAGCCGATAGGGATCAAGTGCTCTGTGACCGTGGGTGGAAAGTGAGCTTATAATGACCAGGAGGCGGTTTCCAGGTCACAGTTGGCTTGGAAGGCTGAGGGGCTGTGAGAGAGGCCCTGTGTGACCCAGTGGGGGCAGGAAGTCATGTCAATGGCAGAGGCCTGCAGATCCTCCTATGAGATGGTGGGGAGCCACCTAACTGGCCTGGCTTCTGGTTGGACTGGGGGGGGGGGCACCTCACAGGTCAATCCACAGATGAAGCAACGTTATTACAGCTGATGCCACCTCAGGCCCTGACATGGTGGCTGGGGATGCTGAGAGGAAGTGGCTCTGTGGGCGCCCGGAACCGCAGGGCTCGTATTCTACCTTGTGCCAGACTTTGGAACGTCTTCTTTGGCCAGAGGAGGTGAGGGTGTGGCTGCTGCTTCCCCAGTTCCACCCAGTTGCTGTGACTATAGAAATCCTGGTCGGGAGAAGAGAACAGGGCCCTAGTGTGACGGCTCCATTTCCAGCCTAACTCCTCATCCCTTCAAGCTCTCCACTGCAAAAGCCTCCTCCCTGCTACTCCTGCCAGACACCCTGGTCCCCTTCCCTGCTCCCTCCATTGTCCAGATCAGATTTTTAAAAAGAATTGTTTAGTTGTTTATTTATTTATTTATGCATAGAAGAACTGGGGTGTAGTGCGGGTGAGGGATGGTGGTGAGAGGATTCACCAGAGACAGAACAGAACAGGCTGACTGAAACACACTGCTGAGGGGAGCAGAGGGGGAGACAGGAGAGGGCTGCTGCGCCATGTGTGGGTCCACTCCCTGGTCAGATCAGGTTTACCAAAGCGCCTGCTCTCTGGTGTTTCTCCCTGTTCCACCCAAAGGCCAAAGACCCTCTGACCTCCGCGCCTTCCCCTCCCCCTCACATCTCTCCTGCTGCCGTGCCTGTCCTTGTTCCCACAGGAAGCAGGGCCAGTTTGGAGGTAGGGAACTTGGGGAGATGGGCTCAGGGCACTGGAAAGCACCCCATCCCTTCTGGAGGGGTGTGTCCTGGCGGGGGAGGGGGGGGGAGGGATCAGAATGGAAGCCGTGCCCCTCTGACCACACCCCCAGCTGCTCTCACCTGCAAGGCGTGAAGCGCAGCCCCCAGACGCTGGCGGGCCAGGGTGTAGTCAAGGGCTCGGGCCGCTGCCAGCGTCTCCCGCAGCGCCCCCACCAGGCGCGTGCGCCCCTGGTCCAGCCGCTCGGCATCGAAGTGCAGGTCGGGGTCATTCTTGGCAGTGGGCAGGAAGTCCTGGGCGGCATTGGCACGAGACACCTGGCCTAAGGCTGCTCGAAACCTCCGGGAAGGAAACCCAGGTCCAAAGTAGGCAGCAAAGAGGTCGTCGGCAAGGAGGGTGCGGCCCTGGCGAGAGTGGGAGGGGACAGGGGCTCCAGGGAAGCCCCTTGGATTGGAGCGGTGCCTAGTTTCCTCAGCAACTGGCAATCAAGGCCGGGTGCGCAGGGAATCCGGCTACTGGGCCCCACAAGGGAGGCGCATTCCTGGGCCCTTCTTAGGAGGGGGCACTCCTGATTTCAGGACCAGAACCCCAGGTGTCTTTGTTGCTGGGGGTTAAAGGTGGGAAGGTGGGGAGAGGGAGGTAGCCCTTTTCTTGGCAAGCAGGGCCCTCAGGGAGAGGGGGAATCTGGCCGGGATGTGACAGGACCCCGGGCTCACCAGGAAGTCCTCCAGGCGAAGGGGTGGCCGACTTGGGGGTGGATGTTCCAGGAAGAGCTGCAGGGTGACATTGAGTGCTGCCTCCTCGGTCAGGTCTTGGTGGGTAACGGAGCCGGGGGCAGCCAGGAGGCTCCAGATGTTGGGGAAGAAGGCAGAGGCAGGGGGAAGCAACAGCTGCAACAGCAGCAGCACTGAGGGGCCCGGGTGGCATAGAGGCACGTTTGTGGGGTGCATAGCTGAGACATGGACCTGGGGGATGAAAGGTTCTCATGGAGGAGGCAGCAGAGGGCTTCCAGGACTGTCTGCCTGTCTCCAGGGCACCTGCTTTGGCCCCATTTTTTGCCTCAAGCACCTACTCTGCTCCAGCTGCTTCCCCGCCCTTTTCCGTTACCCAGACAACCTAAGGGCCTATCAGGCTGTAGAACAGACACCTGCAGGAGCCAGCTGAGGACCCTCCCTCAGAAGCCCCTTCCATCCACCCAGACTGACACCCCCATGCACCGGAAGTCAGTCTCCCCGGCCTCTTCCCTCCCAGGCCTCTTCCCTACCTGGTGGCTGGGTCTCCCCAGCAGGCCGGGGTGTGGCGTCACAGGGCACTTAGGTCAGAGTTATAATTAACCCAAGCAGGACTCTCAGGCAGGGAGGGAGGCCTGGCGCAGTGGGAGGTAGGACTGGAAACCCCAAGCCCCTCTACTCATGCTTGTCCAAGGCCAGGAGCAACTGGCGGCAGCGGGCAGCCTCCCTTGGGCGCAGTGCAGAGGTGAGTGAAGAGCTGGCGGAGGAAGGGAGTGAGCAGCATGACTCAGGCCTGGCTCCCTGCCAGACACAGACAGCCGCACCTCTCTGCCCACCAGGACCCAATGTCTTGCGCCTCATCTGCAGCTCTGAGGTTTCAGAAATCCAGCCCCTCGGCGCTCCATGCTCCCGTTCCCTCCACCACACACACACAGACAAGATGGTTTTGTGGCAAAATATTTTATTGCTGCCACCCCCCTGGTGGAGCCCGGGGGGTTATGAGGGTCGCAGTTGGGTGTATCACAGCATCTTCTGAAATAGGGCGATGGCCTCATCCATCTTCCTGAGTTCTGCTTCTGTCTGTTGGAGCTGGCAGAGAACAAGGGATGTGGGGTAAAGACCTCTGTTCAAGAGTGGAGCCCCTCCAACATCCACAGTGGCAGGCACCACAGGCAGAGGAGTCTGGGAGTGCGTGTACTTGGCTGGCCTGTCCCCCCTAATTCCTACTGGTCTCCCCATCAGCACCCCCTTCTCTTCCATCATTGGTCTTTTGGGTTTTGCCTTTTCTCAGTGGTCAGTCCCCCCAGGAGACAGGCCTCAGAGTGCAGGTCCAGCCCCTGCCAGGCTCTAGGCACTGTGGTTAGGAACCAGGCTCCTACGCAGGCACGTGGCTTCATTTGGAAAATGGCCATGATACTGCCAGGCCCAGAGGGCTGCTAGGGAGTCAATTAGGTAACTATGATCAGCCACCAAGGCCCTAACTCAGCCTCCACTCCTGGTTCTTCCTGCGTCCATGCACTTTATCCCACTGTCCCTTCTGGGATCCCAGGGCCCAGTGGCTCCCTGACAATGCTGACTCAAATGTGCCCCAGGCCTGTGGGCATGTTCTGGACATGGGGTGGGCCTGGGGTCTGCCTAGGATGCAGGACACCTGGTTCTAGGTGTGCCCCCATTGTCAACTTGCTCTGTGACTCTGGGGGGTGGTGCCACCCCAGCTGTTCCTCATGCATATGAGGGATTACATGGCCCCACCTGCTCAAGGGGCCTGGTGTGCATCGACTGGGCAGTCCAGTGCAGGACCGGAATTCAGTGCAGAGGGAATAGATGGTGTGGGCAACAGGGACAGGGAGACCACCCGCACCACACACCTTGGCTTCGTCTGCCTTCTGGACTTCAAGGGGCACCTTGACAGGATAGCCTGAGGCAGCTCGGCGCTCCCGCAGACGCTGGGCCTGCCGCTGCGCCTCACCACGCTTGACCTGCAGTTTGCCCAGCTCCCGGGCGGGGTCCACCAGCCCCTGCAGCTGCAGGTGGACGGAGCAGCGATCGGAGGCCAGGGCCACGGCACAGCCCTGCGGTGCGGGAGCCCCCAGGGCCAGGACAGCCACCACACCCGCGCTGGCCAGCGCTTGCACGTAGCCCGACACTGCTGATGCCTGGGCACCCGTGGCCTCGTCTGCCACTTCCAGGAAGCCTGCCAGGGGAAGGAGAAACGTTGAGGCCTGACGCCAGGGAGATGAGGCAAAACAGGAGATGAGGCAGCCACACTGGTGAGTGGGCTCAGGCACAGTGGGAAGGGGTGTATGAGGGGGCCTGAGGCTCACAGTCGGGCCGGATCCGGGTGAGGTTGTAGTCAGCACGTAAAGAGCGCACGACTCGGGTGATGCTCAGGGCCAGCTCCATGGCAGCTTCTGCCTCAGGGTCCTTCCAGGAGCACTGTGGGGCGGAGGAGAGGTGAGGAGGGTTGTTGGGGGGCAGGCTGGGGAAGCCCTCCTGCAGATAATACCCCATACCTCCAAGGGCTCCGGGTAGGCGGTAACACAGAGGCTAGGGGGAGCCTGTGGTGTCCGTCGGGGCAACCGCTGGAATAGCTCCTCAGTCACAAAGGGCATGAAGGGGGAGAGCAGTCGCAGGCCAACGTCCAAGCAGGTGTAGAGGGTCTGGCGGGCGCACTCGGCCGCCGCCTGGTCCACGCCATTCAGCACGGGTTTCAGGCACTCCTAGGGGACAGGGAGGCACCGGGCTCAGGCTGGGAAAGGTCTAGTCCAGCCCTCACTGCACCTGTGAGGACTGGGAGGGGAACAGGTTGGCTTAAGTCTCATTGCCAGCCTCTGGCAAAGTGAGGCCCAGGGTCTTGCAGCAACCCCCCCCACCCCCCCACCCCCCAGCGCAGCTGCTTCTCACCAGGTAGACATCACAGAGCTCATAGAGCCAGAAGCTGTACTGGGCGGTGGTGACGGCAGGGAAATCATAGGCCTGGAAGCCTTGGTTGCTGAGCCTCACAGCCTCAGCCAGCCGGCTGCGGATCCAGCGGTCCACCAGGCTCTCCTGGCCTCCGGGCTTGGGGGGAGAAGGGGTGTATCAGCCAGGAGGCTATCTCGAGGGAGCCAGAACCCCATGGGGGCAGGAACCATGGGCAAATCTACATTCTAGGAGTCTAATGAGTCCAAAGCAGCCACTAGGTGCCAGCATCTGGGGGAGGTCCCCCAGCACCTCGGGAGAGGACCCTCAAAGCCCTGGCCTTTCCCTGTAACCATCTGTCCCCAGCTACATGGAGGCTCCTTAGGAGCGAGCCTGGGCTTCCTGACTCCATGGCCACAGTCCTGACGCAGCATGTGCGTGATGCCTGAGTGGCGGGGGTGCAGCCTATGGGGGTGCTGCCCACCTCGCTGCCTGCCAGGCCCTCACCTCGGAGGTGGGTGAGGGTACGAAACCCTTCCCAAGGCCACGGAGGGCAAACTTGGTGGCGTTCCAGAGCTTGTTGCAGAAGTGGCGGTACCCCAAAATCCGGTTCACATCCAGGTTGATGTCACGACCTGGGTGGGGGCGAAGTGTGAGTCCTCCCTCCCACCCATGGCCAGGGCAGAGGGGAATAGGCCTCAGGAAAGGTGGAAGGGCACGGCTGAGAAGTTTGGGGACCATACCCTGGGAAGTGTACGCGCACAGTCCAAACCGGAGCGCATCAGTGCCGCACTCAGGAATGCCCGCTGGGAAGTCTGCCTTCTGCAGGGAGGAGTCAGAGGGGTGTGCTGAGCCAGCCCAGCCCCACGTCCTCCTCCCCACATTCCAGCCAGGGCCCCCCCTCTGTACCTGCCCTTCTTTAGCCTTCTCCACCTCGCTGGGATCCAGGTTGCTATTCAATAACTGGTCGTGGAGGCCCTGAGGGTGAGGTGGGACCGGTCAGGGGGCCTGGCCACAGCCCACAGCCCACGGCCCTTCCCTGCCTGGCCGAGGGCCCAGCCCCACCTGCAGGGAGACGCCATAGATAACGTCCAGGGGGTCGATGACATTGCCTAGAGACTTGCTCATCTTCCGGCCGTGGGCATCGCGCACAATAGCGTGGAGATAGACCTTTGAGGTAAGGGAAGGGAGGGACTGTAAGCTGGGTCTCCTGGCCTACACCCCAACTGCCCCAAGGCCCCTGTATCTGGGGTGTTCACTCTAAGCTTCTGGCCCCTCACTGTCCTGGTCAGCCCACTCACTTCCATGTGCCTAAAGGGGCCCCCTCTACCCTGATGACAGAGCACAGGCTCACTGCGTGGAGTCCAGGTTGGCTTTCAGGACCCACAAGTCCCCTGGACCAGCCCACCCACAGCTGCCCATGGCTTTGCCCTGGGTGCCATCTGTGATGAGCCTGAGCAATGGACGGAAGGAAGGGTGGGTGAGGAACCGTGTGAGGGGTCTTGCAGGTGTCACCTCTCTGAAGGGCAGTCTGCCAGTGAGCTTCAGGCCAAGCATGACCATCCTGGCCACCCAGAAGAAGAGGATGTCATGGCCGGTCTCCAGGAGTGTCCCCGGGTAGAACACACTCAGATCTTCTGACTAGGGGCAGAGCAAGGTGTGACAGGGAGCCAAGCACCCTGCTCTGAGACCCCATCCACCAGGACTGCTCCGAGACCCCATCCGCCTAGTGACATACCTGGTTGGGCCAGCCCAGGATGGAGAAGGGGAAGAGACCAGAGGAGAACCAAGTGTCCAGTACATCTTCATCTGAAGAAGGCCAAAGGTCAGAGGTCAGAGCAGGGAGAAGAATCAGAGCCCCTGCTCTACCTGACCCCTCCCAAGGCCTCTCCTTGCCTTGCTGGAGACTGATCTTGTCAGGGGACACGCCGAATTCCTTGGCTGCCTTCTCACGGGCCTCGGTCTCACTGCGCCCACTGACCCAGTAACGCCCATCAGGGTCCTGCCAGGGGTGGGGAGGCAGGGGGTGATTACCCAAGGTATTACCAAGACCCCTTCCCCTGTCAAGGATGCAACAAATCCATAGCTCCCCCAGACGGGCTAGGTCTGGCCCTGCTCTCACCTCCCCTGCGGGTACAGCTGGGTCGTTGACAGTGATGAAGTAGGCAGGGATGCGGTGGCCCCACCACAGCTGCCGGGAGATGCACCAGTCCCTGCACACACCATGAAGAAAGGGAGTAGAGGAGCGGGCGGGAGGGGACCTGGCCTGTGCCCAGCTCAGCCCCTCCCCAGGCGCTGTCCCACACCCAGGGGCCTGCCGCACCTGATGTTGTCCAT